TGGGGGCATCTCTCGCGAGTCAATACGGCAAAGGTATTGCGCGTCGAACTGTACGTGAGAGTTATCCATTTCAGCGAAACCTTGATTTCGCAAAACTATTGTGGCTCGAGTCGTGGCTTCCAGTACTTGAAAGCCACGAGCGAGAAATAAATGACAGTTGATTTTGAAGGACAATCGCGACGTGGAAACCCATAAAAGAGAGTTCCAATAAGACGAGAGCTTCCCCTTCTCTTCAAGTGCGTGGGTTACGCTCTCAATCCTGCACCTGTGGTAACACCGCAGGCTCCTAAAATGGCTTTGAAAACGTTCCTGATCGCAAAAACTTTTCTTTTTTTTTTTTTTGTCGAGGCGCTATTTTATTTTTTTTACTTTTTGTCTACCTTGATACCCCATCAGCGCAAAAACTACCATAAACTAAAAAAAAAATAGTGGGCATACAACGACAACGCACCCACTGGGACCCGAGTCAAGGCAAGAACAACTAACTACTAAAAGGGGGAAAAAATCATGTTCGCATACACAGACAGAACGCCTCCATCGAAAGAAATGAATCATGCGCTTGTTCTGCCAGTCTCGTTGTGCGTCTGTCAAAAGCCACAAAGGAGGAAGACAATCAGCGCCTACACCACTCCCCCCCCCCCCCCCCCTCCCCCCCCCCCCCCACCACCCCTAAAAAGAAGAAAAGAAAGGTTTCTTGGGCGCGCGCGCGGTCGCCCAAGCGATGACCTTGGAAGGGTATGCGATTGTAGCACGTTTGTCCCCCGGTTGTGCCCCTGTCTCAAATGCCACGGTCCGTTTCTCCCAAGTGCCCGTCTTATCTTCCCGAGTATCAACTCCGCAGTGATTCTGAATCATTCCGATGCTTTCCAACGTTGCAAAACTGTTAGACGAATATTTGCACAGAAGTATACTCTGTTCGCAGAACTATCTACGGCGCTAAAATTCAAAAGCGCCGAGTTGGATTGGGGAACTCGTGTAGGTTTAGCTCATCGTTGGAACATTCTTATTCGCTCGATGAACTCCACAAAACGTGTAAATATTAGAATGAAGTTTCCAGAGAACGATAGTTGTTGTCGGGGTTCCAGGCGACCGGACAGGTCGCAATTATTGGCTGATTAAAAATTTTATTTCATAATCACAATCGTATCATCAAGGGCACGCCATTTCCTCATCACTTCTTCTACGAAAAGAGTTGCTGTATTCGTAGCACACACAGACGGAAACGGTTGAGACTGCCCAAATAATATCTTCTTTTGGCAGGTACTGCGCAGCGATTACACACAATGCCTCTAACATAAACATGCTGCTCCACATGTCTATTCACAAGATGCAATACATCGTTCTCCCAACTTTGTTGAAATGGGCATGAAAGCGCGTAACCGTCACTTTTTTGAAGTTCTACTTAGAGGTGAAGTGTTTACCGTAAAAAGTCGTTAATTATTTATTTTTTTCCGTTTACTACAAAGCTCGATTCCCTTAAATTTTTGTTTTTATATCGTCTCTACAGCGCTTTTACGTCGGTACTTTCGTGTTAGAGGACATCACATAATGTGCGAAAAAAACAACAAAAAAACGGTAGGATCGATGCTGCATAGCCTTTTTTTTTTTTGTAGACATCAAGAAAAAAAAAAAAAAGATAGTAGTTGTCTTCACTTCGCACTGCATGTTTTGGCACGGAAGTTCCTATTTGGTTATGATGTCTTTACTTTCTTAAAAATTATATACAGTAATTTAAATTACCGAATTACAAAAACGTCGAAATTGTATAATTGCCTTTCGTTGGGACGCCATGACGACAGCGACACTCGTGTTCCCTCGTGGTTTTCGCCAGCATTTCTACGATGAATTGCCAGGATCGCGAGATGCAACAGCGTGACACTCCGTCTTCTGTGACGTCATTTGTTGCACTTCGGGACAACTTTTGATGTATGGCCAGCATAAGACGCTAACCACACCTGTCGGAGACGCGCTGCAGGTGCCATAGTACTGCTCGTAAAAGTAGCTGTCACGTGCTTTGCTCCGCGACTGAGGGTTGCCAAATTACGGTGAAACGGAGTATAGACAAAACAGACTGGACGACATTTACCGGGCATCTTTAGAGCTGCGAAGCTCAAAATCACGCGTACTCATAAGATTTTTTTTTTCTCGCGTGTTTGTGATTTTTATGATGTCCTGCAAGCAAGAAAAAAATATATATGGTGAAGTCACTCCGAGGGGGTACCGATAACTGCGAGCCACGAACATGAAGGACTCGCTAACATCCGTCAGGAGTGTGAACGGTAAATCGTCACGCAAACATATTCTCACAAGCTGCAAATATTTATTTGGCTTAGCAAGTAGAATACTAGTATACTAACGACATGTGATTATTGTACACAAGATACCATTTCTCGGTTCTTCAAAACCATTTCCCAAGTCTGAACGGTCGCGCTACGGGCCGCGGCTAGCCGTGCCCTCGATAGACTACGGAGCTGCGTTGTGTCGTCTGCTACTGTACCGCCAACAGGAGAGCGCTAGCTCTGTGTGTTCCACAGATGCGTGTTGCGGTATAACTCTGTACGTCTGTCCTAGAGGAAGACAAAGAGATAGGCTCTGTGACCCCCTCCTAAGCTAACAAAAACAAACAGAAGTATACTCGTTTGGACTGAAAGGTTTACAAAATAGTGACCAGACATTGGAAAAGCATATGTCACAGAACTTGGTTTATGAAATGGCATCATTGTTTCGAGCAAGAAATCACCTGCTCACCACTGGGACGATGAAATCGTCACTATTTATTGCGTCAGGTATATTTGCGCTCATGAAGAAAAATCTGAACACATCCTTCTCCCAAAGTCCTATGTTGAATAATAAACACTTTTTTAAACATCTATGCACAAATAACTCATTTTTTTCTACACTTGTATATGCACGTTAATTGACGTCAAACCGCATTTTTGATTAGATCTTGATGTCTACACCAACTACATTCATATTTTTTAGGGCTTTATTGAACGATAACTTCAACTATAGTTAATGGAACACGATGGCTCGATCTCGACAAAAACCTCAACGTGCGAAGCTTCCACAGACGGTCGCTAGCGAGTATTCTCAATGTGAGACTTCAGAAGCTTTCGCTTGCCATAGGGAGCTTGCTTTCGACTACAGCACTGCACGGGCCCGGAAAGCGCGGAGCGCGCTGCTGTGGGGAGAGGTTGACTTACAAGATGACGTGTTACGTGGTCACGTAAGATGGCGTCATTTCGTGCAGCGTGATCACGTAAGATGACGTCATTTCGTGTAACGAGATCATGTAAGATGACGTGTTTGTGTCACGTCATCACGTAAGATGACGTCAGTTCGTATGAACTGACGTCATCTTACGACAACGCCAACAACATTAGTGCCGTCCGGAACCATTGACCTTAGAAACGCGCTTCTTCGCTTGAAGAGCTGATATGCGTTGATTGTTATTTGTTTCTTTTGCCTACTACAGACCATTCAAGAACTCGCCTTCTGGGTGCCACCAACTTCGTCTACTGGGCTGTGAAGCGCGTTCGAGCGTGCGCAATACCTCTCTAGGCCGAAAGATTGTACACTGAGTATGCGTTCACAGCTCAATGACTTTGGCATTTTTCGTCAGGATAGATGCTCCCACGAGAAGAGCGTAATGGATATGTGAATAGAATTGGAAATTTGAAATGTTCTTGTCCAATCGCATTTTTCTTTGGTTATCAACGCTTTTTAGCGTCATCACAAGACGTTCAACCCATAATACACTGGTGATTAAAAAATAAGCACCGAAAAACATGCACCGATTTTCGCTCAAAATAAACACCGGAAAAAAACATACCGTAATCATTACCCATGTCACCTTTTTGGGTGATATGTGAATTTCCAGAAGAACAGCGAGTTATCACCCTCCCCTAGGAATACCCTGACTACAGAGCAGGCGACCCGTTTTTCCCCGCGTTAGATTGTGGTGACCACGAACCGTACGGAGGTCACAGGACGTCCGTGAAAAATAAAAAGGAGGCAAACAACGATCTACTCTGTGCACGCTTCATCCCCAATTTCCACGACCCCAAGGCCGAAGGACGTTTGTGTGAAGGATAACGATAAAATAAAACTTTGCGTCAAAAAAAAAAAAGCCCGTTTTTAAAAGAAAAAAAAAAAAAGTAGAAACAAGCACAACGCGTTGACGGACCGCGAGGTTGTGGAACACCTCGCGGTCCGCTTGCCACAGGACGGTTGTCTTCGACCCATAGCTCCAAGGTGAATTTGCCACCTGCGAAAACACGGAGACCTACCCAGCGAGAACCAGGAAAGCAAGACACGCACACTGACGCCTCGGCGTGCAGAATGAAACAGGATACGGGCGCGGAATACGGCCGCGGAAGAACACCTCGCACAGTGCCGATCCGGCCGATCTCCGAACGGACGATTTCGCATATCGTGGACAGCGAGCGCCACCGCACGGGAGAGAGAGGTACCTTAAAAACGACGAAAACAAGCACCGACACCTTGGTTCTTTATATTTGCTGTAGTTACGGAACAAATCGACTTACATGAATAATTTGAATATTATTCGATTCCGTAATAAATTTAGAAGACATTAAACGCAATTCTTCTTATGTTTGAATTTAGATAATTTTGTAAATTCGCTCCGAACGCAAGAGTGCCGAATTAGTCGATTTTGACCATTTTCATGATTTTTTAAAGAATATAATTAAATTTATGACGAAACATCTGTTGCGTTTAGTGTCTCGATAATGACTCAATGTCTTTAAAGCCGAAATTTTCAAGAAGATCCGCGCAGCCGTTATTATGTGAGAATTTTTTTAATTTGGTGAAAAACCTCATGTATTCTCTATGGGGCTCTGAGGTGCGCCCCCTCTTAATCAGATTCAGATTATTACTGCCTCAGATGGGTTTGAACATTTGATCCTCCGGGTGCAAGGCCGGTGCACAGAATGATGGGGTACAAAAATGCACATAGTTTAGTTTACCATTTAACTTACCAGGCGGAGGATGAGGCCAGATATAAAAAGACCAGTCGTTGATAAGGTAAGTGAACCGAATGGTCAGTTGAATTGGAGGTAGGTTCAGTTGAGATGAGTAAGACTGAAAAAAATGGAAAAAGTAAGGGTTCAAGAAATTTTTAGAACCCATCACTGAAAGATAGTCAATTTATAGCACTATAATTGAAGCATGTAACCTAAAATAAATCAGAAAAGACGAAAAAGAAACCACCGAAACAAACTTACAGCAATGGGTTTCCAATGTCCAAACCTTTCGAATAGTGTATGCTGTTACACCCCTTTTTAACTGAATATCATTCCTAGGAATATGGACCAAGTTCCCCATACAATGTCACTGCTGCTATGGAATGCTGCAATGCTAAACACCGCTTAGCTTTATACGCATGGGAGTGGCTAAAATGCCAATGCTAAAATGTCTTCTTAGCCACTCCCACACATCTGTGCCAAATGGCACAGAAAAGAGGCAGCAGATATTTTTCCAGATTCTCAACATCAAGAAATGGGAAAATCAGAAGAGAAGCCTAATATATGCTAAATTACAACTTACATGAAATATGTCATGACACTGCTAATCATAAATTCTCTAGTTTCATGCTTGAACCACTGACAGTTCAGTTTGAACCAAATAGCAAAGAAACATAAGCCAGCAAGGAAAAAGCGAAATTGTTAAAGGAGCAATGCAACAATTTTTGTACTTTGCGCAAATACCGCTTAAAACGGATCCCTGACGTTAATGACCTATAAAACACGCGTTCGTTTTTCACCCCACGCAATAGAAGACTCAGAAAAAAATTAAAGAAAAATGAGCCGCGTTCACCCCCTCAACTCTCAGCCAGAACAAGCGGCCACGTGATCTGGAGCCGATTATATGCCGCCAGTGTTGATCATAGCCACGCGCTGGGGTTGGCAAAGCGCAGGACACGCGCTGAGTTCCAGACATTGTTATGGCTCGGCTGTTGTCGCCGTTGCAGCGATTGGACACGGGTCACAACCCGAATGCTTCTCGAGCTAGCAATTGTCACGAGCACAAGTCGAGTGCCCACGCAATGGTCGGGTCCAATCAATGAACCGCATTCAAATATCGTCACTTGGGTGTACTGCAATCCCCGAGTTACGTCATCAAATTTTGCAAAGGAGAGATTGAATGAAAATGATCGCTTTTGTCCTTGAAATTACACCGCAGCAAAGGAGTTTCTTGGCCAATGGCGTTGCGTGTGAGTATCCTTGAGTCCCTGGTGTGCCAGTAAGCTCGTGTACAGAAAAAAACATTCCAAATGAATATCGTTGCACAGCTCCTTTAAGTTAAAAGTAATATTTAACAAACCAGAAAAAAAAATTTAATAAATGAAGAGTGCATTTTAAATTTTGTGCTTTAACTGCCTGGATAGATTACGTCAGCGGTTCTTGAACTTTTGGCTGTCACAAACCTCCCGACACTCGGAGGCTGTTCGGGGACCCCCCAATGCATTCTGCATCAGAGGTATCGTGCAATGCCATAAGAGGGCTTGCTTCTCTTTTTAAGAGTGTTTTTTTTTTTATTTAGCACAGACCCTTGCGAACGCTTTCACTACAGTTTGAGAATCGCTGGGTTACTTTGTCACAAAAAGCATTTTTCCTGAAAAAAGAATTAATGCAATATTTACGCAGTAAAATACAACACAAAGCCGAAGGCGCAGCACATGAGCCATCATCCTCTCTGCATTTTTCTCTCGCAGAGACGTGGAGAAAGACACGTCCGGCGTACCTCTCCTCCACGCTCCTCTCAATCAACGGGAGGCTCATGAAATATTTCCATTTTAATGAGACTGTGATGTCGGCTTCCAAATAGAAGTAAATTTTGAGCCGGCGCACACAAGCAGACGAAACCATCCCAAATTTAAAATGTGTCTCTAATGTAAAAATTGCAAGAATCGTTTAATTTTTGGGGGGCAGGTGCATTTTGTAATACTTTCTATCCATGTAGCCTAAAACAAAAAAGGTTTTGGGAGCGGCATGTTTTTTTAAGACAAGGTAGGTCCAATATCTTTCCTGCATCTTTACATAAAACTAACAATTCTTGTAAGTAAATGATTAATCGCCCAGGTCACCTTACGAGAACCATAGGTCAGGTTAAAATATTTTTAGACACCGTTTAACTGTCCTGTTCCTCGAAAAAAAATGAATAGTTGTGCAGCCCAGTTTCACTAGTGTGCATAACCAGAATCCTTCACTTATTAGATACGTAAAAATATAAAAATTCCGTAGCTCTAGGCTGGGTCGAACTGGCCAAACGTTGCGCTCACGAATATAATGTTGTTTACAGTATCTTTCACCGATAACATCCCCCTGTAGCGTTGGTGCAGGAAAAGCCATTTCTATTTACAAATGTTTCTGCCTCGTGCATCACGCAGTCCCACTCCCCAGGGTGTGGATGATGGAGGCTTATTGTGGGAAGGCAATAGAGATTTCAGTTGCGCAAATAAAGATCCCCAGGGATGGTTCGCTAGTGATTGCGGCTATTCCTCCCGGCAGGTATGAGGGATTTTTTATGCCACGTGACCAGCTCGGAGGGCACAAAGTACCTAGTCAGCAGACGTAAGCGTTGCCTGTAATTTTCGTTGTCACTTAACACGATCATCTCCAGAATTACCTTTACACGTTGATCTTTAAAGTACACAAATGCAGTTAATTTCATCCACATATCAAGCCTGTTGACCCTCTCTGCGCACAAACGCAAACTTGAATAATTGAAGCGAGGACGAACTTTTGGCAGCTGTCTGTCTCGGCGTTGTCTATTCTGAGCTGCGTAGTCAAGGCTCCTACACCAACAAAGCTACTTGCACGAGCGCGCCGCTTCCTTTAGCGACTCTTTCACACAAAAATGCGTGCGAGTGAGACGAGAGACAAAGCCACGTGCTCTCACAGCAGTGCTGAGCTGCAGCACTAGGTAAGCTACGCTAGCCTTGACAACGTAGCAGAAAACAGACGTCGCTGATTTTTTTCTATAGGTACCTCGTCCCATGAAGTTCGACCACCTGGGGCGGTTTGCTAGCATTCACCAGCAAACCACCCCAGGTGGTCGATATTAATCCTCAGTCCTTCGCTGGGACATGCCAGATGCCCTACAATGGTTTGGCCAGTAAAACCCCCAAATGTTTTACCAGGGTGTGGACGACACAGTGGGCTCACCAGCTTGCTCTTGAAAAGAGACAAGAGACCCGAGAGGTTGCTGCAGGCCTGGGGCACATGGCTCAGGTGCACCATGTCGAAGTAGGTTGTCAGGCCGCTGCCCAAGCAAACACCATAGCAGAGCCGCTCCTGCGGGTGGTGCAACTGCACAAAGACCGGTAGGGGGCTGCGTGCAAGACACAAACCATGCCTTAGCAGTTCTGCACAAACACCACATGTTACTCAGTGCCAGCTAGAAAAATTTGGACACTCAGCAAGGGCGAGTCCCTCTGTAGAAGCTTTACGTAAGTTACAAGCCGACTTGGTTGGACGCATTAAAAAAAAAAGGAACGAATGCGGAGACACTCCCCAATGAAGAAACAAAAAGCTTCCCTCTTCTAAGGTCTTAAAGCGAAGTGAATACAGAATTGAAAAAAATAACAGTGCAGACTGTTTGGCAAGTTGGTGTTGTATCTGAGGATATTTAATAGTGTGCAGCGGTGCCCAGTTCTCTTCCTTTTGTTCTTGTCTTTTAATACTACCGTGAATACTTAAATTAAAAAAAAAAATTAATACACAAATAAAGAAAATTAGGTAAATTTATTTGTGCCACTCATTTAATGAAGTTTCAGTTATTAAAAAAAAAAAAATATTGAATAAAAAACGAAATTTTGGTTGGCAGAGCTTGGAGACTATTGAGTTCACCATTTAGAGTTGGTCAGCGCAACGCAGACAGAGCTGACGAGCAGCCTGGTCTTGTCCTCATTGGAAATAGCCTCCTCGTCACTGCTTGGTGAAATGACCAGAAAGTCTCGCAGCCCGTACCTGCGGTGAGAAACGCTCTACTTGGAGTTCCTGATTTGCAACAAAATTATTCAAAACGACGACAATGTATGCACTAGATGGACCTGCAACAAGATGGAGAATGATCACAAATAAAATAAAAATGGCTTACAAATCCTTACAAATGACGCTTAAAGGAGCACTCAACTGGATTTCGAGATTGTCTTTTAATGGCGCAAATTCAATCTATGCATCCTATAAAACCCAAAATAATGATCACACGTGGCCTTTTTTGCCCTTAAAATGCAACTAAACACCGCGACATGAGCCTTTTTTTAGATATCTCAGGAAAATGGGCATGTCACTATGTTTGGTCACGTCTTTAATAGGAAAAAGTCATATTCTTTGCCTGCAATGTGCGAAGAAATGAAAGCAATAGCTGTAGCACGGTCACGCAATGCGGGCGAAATGGTGCAGTCACGTATCTCAGCACGGAGGTGCAACATCATGGTTAATTCTCATAGCCGTTGTGATTGGCATCGGGGATGCCACTGACGAACGCCACCAGTGATCCGTGAAGTGGGTAAGTGCAGTGGACGTTTCTAAACACCATCCAACATTATGCGTAGCGACTGGACACTGTCAAAGTGGGATTTCACATAATGCGAGTAATGTTTGAGAACAAGTCTTTCAAGCAGACGACAGAAAGAATCTCCCTTCGTTGCGTCGTTACTGGCTAGATGCCGGGGCTCCCCTCGCTTCACTCTCCGCACTTCGCTGCCGACGGGAAAACCAACACCTCCTAGAAGAGAAGGCCATAGCGCTCCGAGTAGTTAAATCACAATCTCGGAGAGGAAGTCCATGGCGCAACTACGCAAGAAAATATCTGGTATCAATGTGAAAAAAATGTTTCTTGTCGAGTGCGCTTATTTATGTTTTAAAAGCGCAGTCTTGTACAATTTATTATGCATATAATATAAACGTAATATACAATGCGTGGCCAAGGTTGAAAGTACCGAATATATATTTATGATTATCCCTGTAACCGCGGGACTACGTGCAGTCCCGCAGCTCCCCACTTTTCAAATGAACCGGCTCCAATGCGACATCTTCCCTCATCAGGCTCCGATTCTGGTAAATTTATGTTGTGTGTGAGCTGCTGACGGTATGAAAAGGAACGCTGAGACATTTCAGAAGGGAAGAGAACCAAGAAAATAAAATCCAGTCATCGCCGCAGGGAGCGCACACAAGCAAGAGATGGGTCCGCAAGGTTAAGCCTTTTGTACCACACTGCTGTCGTTGCTCTCGTGTGTGGCTCTTCCCGTCGTTTTTCTGTCGTCACCACAGTCTCGGGTAGTTTTTTTGTGTTTGCATGATACTACAGCATTTACGTGGATTCGTGGAACAAGTGCTGCTACTGTTTGAGTGACGTGTGGCAACTAGCTAACAATGACACTGGTCGCTTCTTGCTTATTTACGAGCTTTCTTGGTCATGCAGGACAAGTAAAATGCTGCAGTCATTTTTTATTTTTTTTAAATTTTGTGATAGAATAGAATTTTGTTCTTCGTCATTAATCGTGTGCAGTTGCATTGACATTTGTGGAAATATTCTAGTTTTCACTGGAACGTGAATAACAAGTTTGCGTGAATACTGAAAGCGGGTTTGTGCTTCTGTGTTTATTTATACTAATGCTATTTTATTGCCTTTACCACATTTATACTAGAATCTTAACTGTATTAAGGTAATAGTATTATTGTATACAAAATGAGTTATAGTTTGTTCCAAGGCAGCTCGAGCCCATAGGGAAAAGTAAATTAGTTGACTGTAAATAGTAGCTCTAGTACCCCTGCCACACAGAAAAGTTGATATATTTTCATTAAATGATATAAGATTTAATCAGCTCGCGGTCTTGGTTGATTATACGAGCGTCGCAAGCCGGTTTGTCAACCCCATAATGTCATTCGATCGAAATTATATTAATTTTGCCATGTGGCCGGGGTATAATGCAAGAATTCAGTTACTGCACACGATAACATCACTTACATGATCGTAAGTCACACTTGTCTAGCCAATCCGCGTTGACTACGTCTACCTTATTTTTAACCGTGATCTGTTTTGCTGTGTCCAATCACTGCGTGTCTCGCCATTTTGTCGAAGTATTTCTGTATAAAATATGCATTCCTACAGCAATAATTGCGTGACTCAATGTTTTCGACTTAAAACTTACATTTTTCTATAGACGTCTTATACACATACCTCGTGCCATTTCATACCGATTATTTAGCGGTGTAATGTTTTGCCCGTGTAATAAAATGTTTTCTAGACCCCTTGCGATGTGCAGCTTTCATTTTAGCTAATAAGACATGCGTAAGTGACTAAAAGCGCGTTACGACGGTCTATCCACTTGCGTTGCCTTCGCTTTGACGCGCGCCCCCGATGGACTTCCTTTGCGACGTCATTAGGAGAGTGCAACGGCCTTCTCTTTTAGGAGGTGTTGGGAAAACCAGACTTCACCCTCTTCGTGCCAACAGGAGAGAGAAGTGTTTCTCCTTCCTTCTCCTCGCGCCAAGAGGGGAGAGAAAAAGGATTTTTCCATAGCGACAACAACAGCCCACGAGTTCAAAATTTCTGGAAAGTATCGCCACTAAAGCTATCGCTTAAAAAAAAAAAGCCTCGCATGATTGTAATTTTGGGTTTTCAAATACTTATGGCAGATAGATTGAGATTGTGCCATAAAAAGAGCATTTCAAAATTAATTTTAGTGCCCCTTTATCATGGCAGTAGTGCAAAACATTTCCTTACTAGATGAGTGCTCAAAAGTTAGGAGCACATATAAGCTGCCAGATCCACTCATTTTCATGGAAAATTTTCAAGGTCACATAGTTTTCGAACACACAACCCGGTTTCTTTCGACACACATTTATCAAAATAAAACTGCAATCTGGGTTTTGTCGGGAAAATGATATAAATAACATGACTTGGGTTTACATTAATCCCATTATCTAAACTAGTGAATGCATATTGTTACTGGATGTTTCCTTATAAAATATACCTGAGCAATAATAAGATCTAATGATCAAATACGGCCATGAGAAAAAGTCAACAAGGCTATAAAGTTTTACTCCGGCATTCCACAAATTACCAATTAAAATTTCACTTGGGTTTCACTTCTCAAGTAAAATTGTGAAAAGTCACATGCTCCCACAAAGATTCTGACTAAAATTGGTGAAAACACTGCCAGTCTGTAAAACAACCCTTACCACCGAACAAGATAGTGGGCACGAGGTGGAAAATCATTTCCCAGGTTCATCATGTCCTCCAATACAAATGGAGCTGGTTCATCTGCATATGCACCCAACAATCTGATTAATGCATGCATATGACAAGTATGCAAGACAAAAATGATCCCATCAATTGCAAGATATGTATATACTGCACATGCAGAAAATGCATGGGAACATAGCCTCCTATATAGGGGAAAAGCCTGTGTCTTTTACACTAGAACAATAGACCGCCATGTCGCGGTAAAAGAGGAAAGAAGAGCGGCAGGCAACGGGGAACCATTCTGAAGACAGCGCCACTCAGAAATACTAGCGACCCGAAAAAGCACCTTTTTTTTGCGGGGGGCATTTTGCAAAAGTGAAAAAAAAATTAAAAATAAACTTGGCTTTCTCCATAGTTCTTTTTTATGGCTTACGCTCCTCTCCTATGGAGAGTAGGAGTAGGCAGAGGATGTGCCGAGGGACTGGGAAAGGAGTGTAAGGCATAGGTGGGGAGGAGGGATGGATAAACGAGTTTTCTTTTGGCAAAAAACAAACGCGGACGGCGCAGGCTTTCCCCCTATGTAGGAGGCTATGTGTGAAGTTACATTGGCGAAGATTAGCAAAGAAGAGTTCTCCAGTCATTCATAGAAAATGTGAATATGTACTCTCTGTTTACTTAGTATCATTTAAAAAAAGAACAGCCCATGCAATTTGTACACTTTTGCATGAAGCTAAAAATATTTAGCTTCAATTCTGAAGACCAGGCATATGAGATTTCTCATGTAAAAATATATACATTCTTAGTCACTGAAGACTACAGACAATACAAATAAATAAGCACAAAGAGACACTAAGACCATTGCAAACAAGATTGCAAAAGAGACTTAGCACTCACTCAAACTTTTCCAATTAAAATTTAGGTTATAACCTCTAGCTTTGTCATACTTATTTCAACTGCTAATTCAAGCACACCTTCCAGACTTTCACCATCATCCCCACACTTGGTAGATCCAGCAAGGTAGTGCCTTGTAATCTTGAATGAAAAGCTGGCAAACTTGATGTCTTCTGCTGATGTCTCCCAGCATCCAGTTGACAGTTCACCCTAAAAATTAACCATGAAGCTATATCTTTCACACAATCTCAATTTGTCATAAAGTTTTATTATTCAAATGTGCATACCTCTTTCAATGGCTCCACTGGCTTCACCGATGTCAACTTCCATTCGTGGATAATTGCTTCTACAGAGGCAATGAACCTAAAATATGGGAAGCAGCATTTATTGATGTACTACCTCTACTAAGGTGTGCACAGGACACTTGGATACACATGCACACCAAATATAAGAGCTTTGCACAAACACATTTTTTGTACAAAGTTCCTATATCATTCAAGAGATGAAAGGTTTTCAGTGAAGAAAGATGAGGACAAATAGGCACATGCTGTACGTCCTTGCCCCTCTTCGTCAACACTTTCCTGATCGCACCCATACAGCACCGATCACTCGCAATCGATGGGCTCGGAGGCCGAGCCGTTTCAGAACTCTTGCTTGTTGCACCATCTTGTTGATAGTTTGAAGACTACAGTCTTGGTTTCTATGTTTCAGTTTCTCTTTCCATGTGGCAGTGATTTTAAAGCCAAGCATTGAGCCAATAAGATGTCGTTTGTGACAGTCGCAGCTGCTTCCACGGGAATGGCATGCACTTACTAGCATGGCAATTCTCAGAGAATCCTCCGTCCATTTTTCGGGCCTGTATAGCAGCGGTGGGTAACAAAAGTCACACCAAACAGGCATTTTCCCCCATGGTCAGGAATGAAAAAGCCTTTTGTCCCTCGAGTACCAACATGCTCGAAAAACTCTTGTTCCCAGAGGAGTTGAACATTTCTCAGTGTGGCAATATATCAAAAAATGAAGGTTGGGGAACTTAGATTAGCAACGAAACACGGCGCACGAAATCCATACGTCATAATGAAAACCGGAGTGAGCCACCATAATTTATAAGTTTTCTATGTCAAGAAACAATTCTGAATTAAAATCCACAGATATGCTGACTAAATTTAAATGGCAAAATCCATCCGTGTTTCATCTGAATTATTCCAAGTAAAATGGACAGAAAAGCGCGGTCACAGACTTTTAGAAAGAGAGTTACCTTTCCCATTCCGTTGACGTAGTAAAATCAGTGATCTCGTAAAGATCAGGATCCTAAAAGGCAAGGGTATTAAAATTTGAAAGTGATGACAGCAAAGTGGTAAATTCTTTGTGGCCTGCCATGCGCCGCCTTGATCATTACACACAAAAAGTGAATAGCAACGTTCATGAACAAACTGAATATTAGTATTAATTATTAGTAGTAAAACTAGTTATGAAACTAAAGTTGAAGAAAAAAAATTAACGACAGGTACAAGTGCTACACAACACAAGTATTGTTTCAGGGCCTGTCTCGTAACATGACATTCGTAACAGAATTCAATTCTCTCTAAACATTTAGCTGTCAAAGTGCCAGTTCGTCTTCAGTTCAGAGTTAAAATTGGGAATGAAATGAACAAGATACAGACTGATACAGACTCAAACGCGGCTGTCACACGTGATACCACCGCGGAAGAAACTGTTTTGAAAACTACTCACGACGAACTGAAGTTGTACGCACGGAACTTCGAAATAACGAGGAACATTGCAATGGCCGGCTTAAACAAAACACAAATCCCCGTAGTAAGACGCGCTGACACAAATATACAATATATATTGTAGAAAATAAACGAAAATAAGAGACTTACCTCGTCAAACGCACCTTCGTCTCCCATCGCGTTAGGCAGGTGGCCCCTAGTGTGCCTATATTTTTTAGTGTTTCCAACTGCATGATCGGGGTCACGTGGTTTATGGGCCGCTCTTGCATTACGAGCTGAGACCTTTCCTCTCGCTTTCCTTTCCACCACGTGACAACGCAAAGCATGCGCACTTGCGGCCACTTTGTCACTCTGCCCAGGAAGCGTATTCCAAACGCTCCCCATAGCTAAAGTTGGTCCCTCACGTCCAACGAAGTTGCTCTAGTCCCTCTCTTAAATCTAGGCTCTCTAGCTGCTCCAGTGTTGGCAGTCGGCACTAGATTCGCCGCTATTGTACTCGCTCAGTCATTACTTTGACAATTTTTACGTTAATTTCGGTTCTAATTTTTTTTTTTTTAAGATCCGGCGTTATTTATGGTTTTTTTTTTACTTGCTTTCTTTTACCAGCACAGTTTAGTGGAAATTGTGGAAATGCCGAATCGTAGGAGCGTTTCGTTGGTATTCCCAGCAAGCCGACCGGACGGCCATCTTGCTCGTAGATGAATTGCGGTTTTGCTAGCGTTGCAGAGGGTTGCGGCAGCGTGCGGAAGACACATTTTCTACACGCTCATCGTCATTCGCTGAAGAAGCTTTGTAAGACCTTGTGTAAGTGTTGAGACTTGCCATTGAGAATACGTGGAAAATTTTACGAACGCACAGTACCGTAGGAAAAGGGTAGAACTTGTCAAAAGCAAGTTTTGCCAGTCTCGCGACATGATCAAAGCTTCCTTAGCACGCCGAAATGCTGCGTCTTTATGCCTTCGCACGCTTGGATACCGATCAAGATTCGACGCCGTGTGGATGTGTGTTGCGAGTGCAATGCGCATGAAGCCCGTTTGTGCTTTTGGAGCAGCATTTTACTTTACTCTGATGACTGTATTTGTAATGTGTGGCACTCGCAGTCCAGAAACAAGCTTGATCTAGCGTCCAGTGACAACGGAAAGGGGGGGGGGGGGGGAGGCATGTCTTTTTCACGGTTTACAGAATACTGTGCAACAGCTCATCACCGATCAGTGGTCTGGCTCATTATCAACAATTGCACTTAATATCAAGTTTGAGCGCGGCTCGCCTAATTGTGATTGGTCAACAGATTGCACACAATCATGTGCCGTGCTTCAAAGATTTTCAATCTCGCCGTTTTGTACTTTTGCCATGCGATCCATTAGAGTAGATTTGGAACATAGCCATGGTTAATAGTGCATAAGAGAAACCACACAAAATGTTTTCCCCCCTTTATTGATAGCAACTCGCCAGAACAGCTGGACGATTCAGAACTCCGTGGCCAATATATGATGCAAAGACATCTACAAGCGACATCTTCAAAATTTTCCGCAGAGTCAATTCTTGATCGGTATCCAAGCGTGCGAAGGTACAGACGCAGCGCTTCGGCGTGCCAAGGAAGCTTTGATTATGCTGCAAGACCGATATGAAACTTTCTTTCGACGAGTAGTGCCTTTCCATACGGCTTCATGCACATTGCACACGCAAAACACAACCACAAGGCGTCGAATATTGATCGGTATTTAAGCGTGCGAAGGCACAGAGATGCAGTACTTCGGTGTGCCAAGGAAGCCTTGATCACGCCGCGAGACCGGCGAAACTTGCTTTTGACGAGTTGTACCTTTTTCCTGCGGCAGTGCGCTTTCGTAAAAATTTCCCCGTGGTCTCAACGGCAAGTCTCAACGCTTACACAGCGGCTTAAAAAACTTCTTCGGCAAATGACAACGAACGAGTAAAGAATGTGTCTTCAGCATGCTGCCGCCAGCCTCTGCAACGCTAGTGAAAATGCGATTTCGCCAGATGCAAGATGGCCGTCCGGTGGTTTCACTCGCGGGAGCGTGAAGCGCGATCCAGCAATTGTCATAGAGGTCAGTGGTCCCACACTCAAACAACCAACGAGGTCATTAGAGCAATAAACTGAGCTGAAAGTGACCCCCAATCAGCCTTTGCCATGTTGCACATTTGTTACCACTAGACACGTGACCTTAGTTTTATGTCTAGATTTTAACGAAGTACCGTGCACAAATAATTGCTTGTTAATCTTTAATAACAGTACCGACGAGATAAGTTCTGTTTCGTTGGTTTTAAGCCCAAAATGTGCTATTATGACAAAAACTAGGGCAGCCTCGCAATGCCTCCACTAGATGCCGTCAGCCGCGGTGCTTTATTTTGGGGTTTTATCGGAGCTAGACACTGATCTCTGGGGCTAACAGTATTGAAAAAATAGTTTGTCAAGTTTTTTACAGTGATCGCAATACAAATCTCGGCTCAAATTTTGCGTAAAAGCCTTAGGATTTGGTACGGGCACGTGTCTAGTGGTCAAAACTGTACAAGATGGCGGTAGCCAAATGGAGGTCACTTTTGCCTGGTGAATGGGATACCAGGTTATCGCTTTAAGCCCCTCTATCTAGTTGTATGCAATATACATATATATATATACATATTTTTTTCCACAATTTTTTAAACTAAATGGGTGAGTGAAATACATACAAATTCTGAAGACGAAACAATTCCAGAGCTTTACATATTATTACCAAGCAGTGCAATTGGCAAGTGGTTTTCCTTTCAGTTTTCACTTCACGACAGCTGAACGGTGTGGCACTCACACAACAAAATTAAATAAAGTCCAGAAGTGTGGCTTTCTTTCAAAAAGCTAAAACCTCAAACTATGAACTGTTGAAAATGTTGAATGAGCTGCAACCTTAGAAAGAAAGTCAGTTTCACGATGATAATGCAATTAATGCAAACGTGCAAGCGAGCTGGACAAGAATGACGATAGTAATCCTTGGAGAAGGGGAACAAAGAACAAAAACCAATCTCAAAACACAGGTGACTGGTGTGCAACCGAAAAAATCCACCTGGTCCTGGTATTGAACCAGGGACCTCTCCATTTCCAGTGGAGCAATGTGCATATTTTTGGTGCAACAATTTTTTTCGGTTCAAGCTTAATTGTACCAGGCACCATAAAGTTTACATACCAAAGGAGATAGAATTATGGAAAGCTCTATACTTTAAAACTGCATATTCATTGGCAATGTGGAAGCTGTGACGTAAGAGGCAGTGGCCATTGTGGAAGACAAATCGAGATCAAGAGTACATTTACGTCCAATTTGTCCAAGCCCTTGCCCCATTCAAAGTTTAAGGGTAACAGAAGGATTTGGTAAATTAATCCTAATAAAAGATCAGATTGAAACCATTTCGCTAACTAAATTGGTTAACCAAGTGCCAGGTAGGATGTAACTAGGACACAATTGTATGCATATTCCTAAACTTGCCATGACTAAAATAGTTGAACTCGTTTGATACAATAATGAAATTCTCCCTATGGCTGCATGAACAAGTATAAACATTTGAACTTCTCAAAAGTTCTCTACCAAAACAAAAAAAAGTGTCATTCACTTTTAGAAGTTCTTTCCACTCTGAAGGACAGACAAAATAAAGTACCAGACTGCCATTAATAACCCCAGTATTAGGTTCATGGTTGTCCACAACCAACTATATTTACCAAGATGACAACCAAAGCACTGTTAATGTTCACTGAGGGAATGTTAAACATCTAGATAACATGGTAGCCCAAAATCTGTCATATCATGCCATAATCTTGGCTGGATAGCAACATGCTTGCTACACTGTTATACTAGAGCATTTCTTTGTGCACAAGACCGGCATGAACATGGCCCTTTCATGAAACCACATTCCATATAGTTCCATATAGCGTGATTTCACTTAAAAGTGTGGCTTACATCTTGCAAGTAATTCCTTGGTTTATTTTCCTTCTAGTAAATGTATCCAATTACTATAAAACTGTTTAACGTGCAGTCATCGTTTCACATTCATATTAGGTAAGCTCTCTGGCAGTTGCATCCTTTTATACTTTCCAATGTGACACTAATATTTGTTCTTACTAACACAGTCCAATTATCCCTGTTCACATAAAGAGCACAGACCTTAACCATGAACAGAAAAGCGTTCGCAAGTCAACGTCACTGCTGACCTACAACTCCTCTTCAGAAACTGTCACTGACACAGATACTCAATTAAGAATATAAAAAATGGCTGGTACTCCCCTATGTTTGAATCAGCTGCTCATTACCAGCTTTAGGTGATGTCCAACACACCTCCTTTAACAGTTTTACAAGTTTATACAGCATCAGAGCAATGACTTTGAATATTCATCTGCTGGATTCTTCACGGATTCTTCACAAGTCGCATTTTTTCCCATCTGCACCATCAACTTGCAAGGTGCACTGCATACCCTACAAGACACAGCATAGGGCAATCACAGCAAAGAACCTTTGCTTGTTTGTAAATACTATACATGTAGCTTCAACATTGCATACAGCCAGCTGCTATTCTTCCTAATAGCATATCAGATAAAATAAAAATAAAATCAGGAGTGCATTACCGTAAAATCCTGAGAGATAACCCACCTATCAAGAGCAAATAAGTTGAAAATATGGAGTGGCCTAACTTTCGGTGTACAATGAAGAATATTTTAAAACATTACTACTTCTAAGTCATGTTCCTTTCAAGCTTGTTATGGTGGCGAGGGGCAACAAAGCAAAGATGACTGTACTACCCAGCTAGCAACGTTCACTTATATTCCGCCATAGCTAACTAGCCGCATTTACGCCGAGGTCATCACTGACCCCAATACTACTATTACTATGAGTCGGGTACCTTTCGGTGTTTAAAAAAAATAGCAAATCAAGCCAAAAATAGGGGTGGGTTATCTTTCGGGGGTGGGGCATCTCTCGGAATTTTACGGTAATGTTGGTAACACCTCGAATTATGGACAAACATCTTGCACCACTGCGATGCAGATTGCAAAGAAATATAATGCTACAATTTGCTTTAATAACAATCTTGGTAACAAACACTATTCAACTACAATGAATAAAACAATACACCCTGGAAACTGGCACCCCAGTCACTGCCCCAGGAATTAGCCACTACTTAGTCTGTGTCTGTGCAGTAGCCTGCTGCTCCTGCATTTTCTTCATAAGCTCTTCATCTTGCATGGACAGTGTGGTGAGCTTTTTGCCAATGCGCTCATGAATGTCCAGGTACTTGGCCACACACCGGTCAAGGCAGACACTCTCTCCTTTGGAAAGATCCGGCTCCTTGTATTTCGTAGGGATGCATTTCTTCTGGCAGGCTGCCGTCATGCGGTTGTACATGTCTGACATCATTTCTATTTCCAAATCTGCTACCAGCTGCAGCTTTGAAGGATCTAGTTGGATGTT